AATCTTCCTGCCTCAGCCTCCCAAGTGCTGGGATTACAGGCATGTGCCACTATGCCTGGCAGGTGCTCTGATCTGAGAGGCAAAATTCAAATGGTTCTACGCCAAGTCAGGACCAACATATGGTCAACCTCACCTGCTCACTACTACACAGAATAAGAGATCCATGAACGCCAAGGACAGTTAATTAAGCATCAGGAATTTGTTGAAACAGAAGTAAATGGAACATGGTCCAAACCTCAAGCACTTTATACCTTCCTAAAAAGATCCTGACCATCATACGGAACAATGAACTCCCCAACTTGTTGATGACAAAGGTTACTCAAATAATAATGTTAATAAGGGGGAGGAATTATTACGCATTTTTCTATTTATCCCCAAACTGTAAGCTCATTGAGGAGAAAGCAGAAGCTTGATGAGTGTAACCACAACACTCCTTCCCATTCTTCCAGAGACGAAGAAGCCTCAGCCCAGCACTGATAAGGCAATCTACCTGGCCTGTCCACGGGTGAATGGACATATCAGGGAAGTGCCCAAATCTGGAATGCTGCAGACCAAGTTATGCTCTCTAGTTCCTGAAAAATGTCACACTCTGTGCACTCATACACACATATACACACATATGCACACACACAGACCACCGTCATCAGCACTATAAAATAAATCAGTAAAGGTAAACCACATCAACACTACCACAGCGCATGCTTTTCTTACTCATCTAAGAGAAACTGTTGCACATTAGCATCAGGTTATACAGTTCTCACCTTAAGTTCTTCCCAGAGCTTTACTCGCCTTTCTAGACCTTGCTTCTTAATTTCTTTTTCTCTGTATTGTTTCTTGGCCAATATTTTATCAAGTCTGTTCATTTTATGAATAGCATCTTGAAGTTGAGAATCTAATTCTTTTAATTTGGTTTCATCTGTATTGTGTTGAAAATAGGAATGGGTTTAGAGTTTCTTTAAACATAAAGTTTTGTTTTTACTCTTTGTTCTTTTATTCAACAAATACTTATGGCTGGGGGTGATAGCTGCTGCATTAGTGTCATAGAACTAACTTGAGCCATAAGATGGCTTCATATGTGTTTTTTCACATAATTATCTAAAAAGCCTGTGAAACAGAAATTTACTCTATTTTAGAGTTGAAATAACAGTGTCCTTTCAATAAAACTAATAAATTACAGCACTGGACTCAGAAGTAGTTTTCTTATTATTTAAATCCCAACTTCTTTCTCCTTCACATTGCTATTCCTTCTATACCCATAACTAACAGGAAGAAGGAAAAGGACACAGGCCCTACCTATAATTGTTTCAGACTAACTGAAAGAGAAGGTGTGGACACAGAGAGCTACAGTAAAAAGTGATGGGCATAAAGGACATAAGGTGATTCGAACATACAGATGAAACAAACTCAAGTACTTTACGTAGGTAGATATGTTTTTTTCTATGCTCTTCCCACTTTTCTAGCTTCTTAAAGCAACTAAAAATATTCTTAAATTGTAGGTAATTGATTGCAACTTCTTTAAAATTAAGGACATTAGTACTTTTGCCACTCAAGTTTTAACTTACAATTAATAATGATAACAATACCAGCTAATGTTTATAGAGTTACTTTATAGGCACAGTGTAAAGTGCTTTATTTACATATTACTTAAATTTCATCTTAACTCTGTGAAGTAGTATAATCTTTGTCTTCATCTTAAAAACTTTGAAAGTGAGTCTACTTTGTACTTGAGTTACATACATGTCCCAGGTAATATAACCAGTAAGCAACAGAGTCAGCTTTTACCCAAATCTGTCTTACTTCAGAGCAAAAACTCTTAGCCACCAGGCAATATTCTCTCTGTGAGATCCAATGAAAGTTAATAATCCGGCAATGAGCATAATGTTCAAGTACAAAGCCTCCACCATTCCAAACTACATGATTAAAAATAGTATGTTGTACTGGTTGATATACAGTGTCAACTTGAGAAGTTTAGAAGCTTAACTAAGTGACTCATCCTAGGATGTAGAGGACATGCCCTAGAGCAGCTATTTACAGTCTAGGATGTTTTCAAGGTTGATTCATTGTGTCAACTTGAGATGTTTAGAAGCTTAGCTAAGTAACTCGGGCAGGTCTACATTCTAGGGAGTAGAAGACATGCCCTAGGGCAACTGTTTACAGGATGTTGTAATAGTAGATTCACTGTGTCAACTTGAGAAATTTAGAAGTTTAATTAAGTGACCTAGCTGGGGGTTAGAGTCTTCACTTCATAAACACCCTCAGCCTGTGCAAGAGGAGAACACAGAGATAGCATGGGTGTAAAGGACCCACCACAGGGCCAGTAGCTTGTATATAATATAAGGGAGGAAAAAAGGCTTGCTCTTCCCCTCTTTTTGCTCTTGTTGCTTTTGCTATCTTCCGCTGCCTTGAACTGCTGCCCCTGTGCCACACCATCATGCCTTGGAGTTAGCTGGTTATGGACTGAAACCTCCATGAACTGTGAGCTAAATAAACCTTTCCTTCCCTAATTTTGGGCATTGGGTGTTTTGTCTTAGCAATGAGACAAAAGTAACCAAGACATATATCAGACTAAGTAAGGCCAATTTTAAAAACCTTTGAGACCCAAAGAGTACAGTGATGCTTCCCTAGAGTGTACATTACTTCCTCTTTCAGGAAAAGGAAGATATTTTTAAAGGATGGAAGCTTATCCAAAAAAATATCAAACTTATTAATAAGGAGGCTCCTCACATACTGTTGCTTACATACTTCAAAAATGCAGTAGCTTCTAGTTCTAATCCCCAACTGCCAAACCCAGCATTCTTGGGCCCCATGTACACAGGTAGTCTATCTACCAGGAATTTGGAAATAACTCACACAGTACTGAAAAAATATAAACAAATACTGCCATGTGAACTGGACTAAGAGCTGATCTCAGTTATAATACCTTCTTTCCTGCTAAGTGTAATCCTGAGTTACCTGCCTTAACCTTAAGAGCTGCTCTCATCCAAAACACATTCTAAATCAGCAATTCTCAAACTTTTATCTCAGCTCATCTTTATAGTTTCATAAATTATTGAAAGTCAAAATTCATTTTTGTATACATAAGTTATACCTATTCACAGTTACCACAATAGAAATCAAAACTGCTGGGGGTGGTGGCATATGCCGTAATTTCAGCAGTTGGGAGGCTGAAGCAGGAGAATCACAGCAAGTTTTAGGTGAGCCTGGGCTACATAGTGAGTGAAGAATAGCCTGAACTACATAGCAAGACCCTGTCTCGAAAGAAAGAAAGAAAAAAAGAAAGAAAGAAAGAGAGAGAGAAAGAAAAAGAGAGAGGGGGAGGGAAGGGGGGAGGAAGGGAGGAAAGGAGGGAGGGAGGGAAGAAGGAAGGAAGGAAGGAAGGAAGGAAGGAAGGAAGCAAGGAAGCAAGGAAGCAAGGAAGCAAGGAAGAAAGCAAGGATGGAAAGGCAAGAAAGAAAGAAATGTAAAACAATAAACATGTTTCTTCCAATTATATGTTAATATAAACATCACATTTTTACAACAAATAACTATCTTCTCCAAAGATATTAATGAGAAAAGTGGCACTGCTCTAAATTTTTCATATCTGGATTAACATAAGAGTAGTGCATTCTCATTGTACAATCTATTGTAATTTGATGCTTTGGTTGAAATATATGAAGAATATTGGGCTTAAATAGATATGCAGTTGGGAAAAGGAAGAGAAATTTAATAGGCTATTTGGGTAAGTGGATGTTTTTCTTTGATATTACACCAAAATTTGATAGGAATAACTTCTTAAAATTAGTCATAATGTCATCATTCTCAGTGATATTTTTAATTTTTTTCCATTAAAATCCAAGAATCTATCATCTTTCATGATAAATGGATCTTTCACCCTGCATTGGTCACTTGGAAAATAGTGGTTAACAGAATTATGCAGACTTCCAAAGTAGGTCTGAACACACTGCATCATACATCATCAAAAATCTGATTTTTAATACAGTATTACTACCAATTTTTATAAGAAAAGTCTAAGTATTAGAATTCTATCAAGTTCACAATGAAACACACAATCTTCAAAATTTCTAACTTTCATTTTAATGCTTAAATTTTATCATTAACAGCAAATATTGTCACTAGTTTTCCCTGAAGTAAAAGGCTCACTTTATCTTTTCTATCTTTTAAAAAAGTTGTACCAGATCCCCAAGTCTGTATAACAATAGTTTGTCTGCCTGTTGTTTCAGGTAAAAATGATATTCCCTTAAAAAGTGGCCAGCACAGCTCTCAAGCTATCACATAAGTGCTTTCCCTCAAGATAATCTTCATACTTCAGCATATACAGAATTGTTTTTTATCTATTTTCTCTTTTGCCCTACAGAATACTAAGATGATGTGTATAAGGTTAAGATTTTAAAAATTAGTATCTTCTCCTGCTTCATCAAGAACAACCATGAGTGACACTATTTTTTTTTCTTGTCAGTGCCTGGTTGCAAAGAACACGATGGCCTCCAGCACAATTTGGTGCCATTGTCTTGATCCTTGCTAAGGCACCAGAAGTTCTGCCCACTGTTACTTTTGTACCCTTGGTGCAAATGTCAAAGCAGTGGGCAAGAAGGCAAACAGAATCTCAGTGCTCTTAAGCAAATGAGGTCCTTAAAGAGTCTGAGAGCCACTTTCATACCCACAGCTTTGCCAGTGATGTAGGAGAGCTACTCTTCGAATTCAGTCTGACTGGATTTCACTTAATATCTTGGAAAGGAAAAAAGGTAGCTTTTAAGAATCAAAGTGCTATTCATTTTGGTGATATTATCTCTAAAAGAGCATTTATAAATGAGAGGTACATTCTATTGTCCAATTTTAGACATCATGCCATAGAATGTAATAATTCTCCCTACTTGATTAATGTAAAATAATTAAAATAATATTTTAATATTTTATTAAATGACATGTTTTATTACATTTGTAAATGTATTTAATGACTCAATAGTGTAAAAATGGGTGATTTCTCACAAAAGTACAGTTTCAGATGTATTATTTCTACTTAGCTGATTAAAAGCATCGATAATTCTAATATTTTGAATATAACATCTTACATTAGTCAATCACCTTGTGATTATCTTACCTGAATTAGGGATTATCTGATGTTGAACCAAGTTCAGATCTTCATTTGATCCCTCTTTGGACAGTTTTATTTTCCCAGAGTAGTCTGTGCTTTCATCATCCTTACTGTCTCTCCTTTCCTCTGCATTACTGCCTTCTGAGTGGTCCTCTTTACCAGAATTTAACTTGCTTTCAGTTTCAACCTAAAAATAATTTTCAAGACAAATTCCAAAAAATAATGTATTTCCTTAAACTTTCATATTTAACACTAATGAAGCATATGTGGAGACAGATACAAATATGTACACTTGCATTAAAGTACCTAGAAATATAAATTTTTAAATAAATGTAATTTAAATACACAATTAACTTTAATAACATTTACACCAAATATATTGCATTCTTTAGCAATCTTTAGCAGTTTTGGAGAAAAGCTTCAACCAGCCTGCCAGGCTCTGGGGATGACCAATGACGGATCCCACTCTGAGTTTACACCCAGACAGACCGTCCAAGATCTAGAACTAGCCTGTCCACATATGACTCCTGAACAGCTGAAAAGTGGTGATTTGAGTTGCGATATGCTTCTAATGAGTCTTCTAATCAGAATAACGTACTTTAGTTATTTTTACACTATTCAATTTTTCTGTTTTATTTTCATTTCCCTTTACATTTTAGCAAAGTTCATTTTGAAAAAAACAGTTTGGCATAGTTGTGTTTTCCTAAGAGGAAAAAGAAAAGCCAGCCATGGCTGGATTAGGAGAAAACAAGGGTCATGGGGTTCTGAGGTCATTGCATAGCAGCGAGAACCACAGAGAACTGAACACAGCTCAAGGGAGAGGTGAGTTCCCAAAGCAGCCCCTGGCCCTCTCAAAGACAGATCCCTCTGCTCAGCCCCTTCGGCTCCATCACTGGAAGGTTCACTGTGCTCCTCTGCCCACAAGCTTTCTCTCCAACACAGCAATGTGCAATCCCCTTACAAATCTCAGGGACAAAGAAAATACCAGTTGTGCTGGAAAAGAACTGCTAGGAATGCAGCTCAGGGGGGCAAGTATTTCTAGGCCTGGCCCAGGACAGAAACCCAGTAGAATGAAGCTCCCAAAATTGAAAGCAAAAGTGATGTCTAAATTTCTGACAGGAAGCTGGAAAAATATAGTAAAAGTGGCCATCTCTGCATGTTTAGTCACTAATTCTGTGGTCCTTAGAGGTTGGGGCAGTTCCAGAAGCAGCAACAGGAGTAGCTTTCTAATCTTTGAGTTATAATCACACTGGTATGACCTGGAGGACCTGTCTCCAGACTCCCTTTCCTGCTGGCCTTCTGTTCATTTGGAGGAAATGGATTCTTCTATCCAATCCCTTTTTGCTAGGAATACCTACAGTGCTACTTCTCATACTAAATCATGATAGATAAAATGTCTAACAGTCTTAGAAAGCAAAATTTAGTCTATAAATTTTTTAAAAATTAGTATGTATTCATTAATTGGCAGAGATTTTTTTCACCATAAGTTTCAAAACCTTTTTCCTACAACCTGAAAAGGAATAAATTGTACTGTATCACACATGAGGAAACCAATTCTTTTTTTAAAATCAAAATCAAGATTAAATAGTTTTAAAAAGGAAAAACAGATAACTAGTCTAGAAAAATAAGTCATGACCAGGAAATACAGCTATAAAATATATACCACAAAACCTCTGACCATTTTTTTAAATACTGATGCTTTTTCATAGTAAATATAAATGGGTACATACTGGAATAAAACCTTCCTTATAAAGGAAAAAATAAACCACACTCAAAATAAGAAAGAAAGGGA